GAGGATGTCTCGACTAATTCGCTTGTTTTGTCAGGATTTCTTTGGATTTTGATGGAATGTCTCTAGCGAAACGCTTGTTGTTTCAACATTTGTTGAGGATGTCTCGAGCGAAACGCTGGTTTTGCAAAATTGGGGGATGTCTCGAGCGGGGGCCTCGTGGGATGCTTTGTGGGGTGCCAGGATTCAGAGGATGTCTCAGGCGAAATGATTGTTTTCACGTCCCGCCCGCAGGAATTCCGAGGAGGTCTCGCGCGTGCCGCGTCCCGCGCGCAGGAATTCTGAGGATGTTGGCAGGATGTCTCGAGCGAAACGTTTGTCCCCAGCACGTTCCGTAGCGCGTCCCCTTGGCACGTCCCGCGGTGCGTCCCCATGGCACGTCCTTGGCACGTCGCTTGGCGGGTCCCTTGAAACGTTCCGCGTCGCGTCCTCCTTGCATGTCCCCCTGTCAATTAACTCTGGGGCAGCTACTATGTGCTGAGGCAGCTCGAGCTTAAGATCCAGATCAGTTCGGTCAGGACTCGGATGCAAAGGAGGACTCGATCCACGAGGCTATAGAGCACAATCGCGGCATAGCACCTCGCAACTCAACACGGCGCAGCACAGCACAGATTTCGGCACGGTACATCAAGATCGATACACTCAGCATTGCCACTTGGCACGTCCCTTGGCACGTTCCGTGGGGCGTCCCTTGGCGAGTCCACCTGGAACGTCGCGCGGCGCGTCCCCTGGCACATCCCGTGGCACATCCATTGGCACGTTCCGTAGCGCGTCCCCTTGGCACGTCCCGCGGTGCGTCCCCATGGCACGTCCCCTGGCACGTCGCCTGGCGCATCCCTTGGGACTTTTCGCGGCGCGTCCTCCTGGCATGTTCCCCTGTCAATTAGCTGTGGGGCAGCTACTATGTGTTCAGGCAGCTCGAGCTTAAGATCCAGATCAGTTCGGTCAGGACTCGGATGCAAAGGGGGACTCGATCCACGACGCTATAGAGCACAACCGCGGCACGCCACATCGCAATTCAGCACGGTGCAGCACAGCACAGCCCTCGGCAGGGCACATCAAGATCGATACACTCAGCATTGCATTTGCCCGTCACCCAGTCGGGTGTCTTTGAAAACGCTGCCATGTGTTACGGTTCTAGATTCGTTTCCGGGTTCGTGGGTCGATCATGTTCTCTCAGCATGGCTTACCTTGTCGCCGACGGTGCGAAATATGTGGCAAGAATGGGACGCGGCGCGCATCGCGCGCGGACGTCCATGCGGGCCGCAGGCCCTCCCATCCTGATTGTAAAACAACAATACAGAGTTGCCGTTTTTCCTTTCATCATGGCCTGTCTTGTCGTCGACGATGCGAAATGCGTGGCAGGAATGGGGCGCGGCGCACATCGCGCGCGGATTTCTTGGGCAACCCCAAGGCGGGAAGGGCCACCTTACTTGTCAGAAACAATGCCATGCTGATTTTCCCTGCCCACATAGCTGTTCTTATCGTCCACCCCGCAAAAGTGCATGGCAAGAATTGGGCGCGGCACACCCCCTTCCCCCCCGCTCGAAGTGAATGAAATGACCTTCCCGCTTGGGCGCCGAGCGAAATGTTCTCAAAGTTGCGCTCCCGCTTTGGCTCGGCGCACGTTTTTCGCTCGCCAATTCATTGGGCGCCGGGGCGTTCCAGGAGGCCCTGGGGTGACGAATGCCTGGGAGGTTTCTGCTTGTTCAGGCTCTTGGAGGGCCTCCTGAGGTTCCCCGCGGTTTTTTGGCGGCGTCTTCGGCCGTCTGGAAGCAATCTTGGGCGTCTTGGAACGATCTTTCGGCGGCTCAGGGCCCCTCGGATCGTCTCGGGGGCGTCTCGGCTCTCTTGGGCCGTTCCTGGGGCGCTCTGGGACCTGGAAGTCAACGCCGAAGAAGAAAACCATCGCTGGGACCGACGTGCCCAGGACCTGCTCGGGGTTCTTTTCGTCCGGGGGCCCCCAGGGGCCGCCCCGCGCGCGCGAACTAGAAGATTGTTAAGTAGTTACCGGAAATCTTAGCACGCCTCTGGCCCGTCGGGCTGGCCCGGGACCTGCTCGGGGTACTTTTCGTCTGGGGGCCCCCAGGGGTCGCCCCGCGCGCGCAAATTAGAAGATTGTTAACTATTTACCGGAGATCTTTGCACGCCTCTGGCCCGTTGGGCCGGCGAATTTGTCCCAAGCCTTTCTGAGATCTCGACCCCTTTCTCGGGGGCAGTTTTGCGTCCTGGATATTTTCTCATTGGTCCGGGGGGCCAGAGGGTGCGCCGCTGGATCTCCCAGGGGGGGGGGGGTTAGGGACCCCCCCCCCCCCTTCCCCCCCTCCCCGATCCGTTTCGGGCCCCCCCCCCCCTTCCCCGATCCGTCGTCGGGGACCCCCCCCCCCTTTCCACGACCGTCGTCGGGAACCCCCCCCCCTTCCCCCCTTTCAAAACGGAGGGGGGGTCCGAACCCCTCCTCCCCCCCCTCCCCCCCTTGCGCACGCGCCCCCCGACGCCGGAACCCAAACCCCGCCACCCTACCCCTAGTCCTCACCCGAACCAAAAAGCCGAATCCGAACACTAACCACTAACCCCAGCCCCAAAGGGAGTCACGAGGGGCCCCCTACCCCCTAACCACTAACCCCAGCCCCCTACTCACTACCCCCTACTCACTACTCGCGATTCGCTACTCACGACTCACTACTCACTATCCACTACTCACTACCCACCACCACCTACTCGCTACTCACTACTCCCTACTCACTACTCCCTCCTCCCTACTCACTACTCACTCCTCACTCCTCAATACTCACTACTCAGTAAGCGCTACTCACTACTCCCTATTCACTACTCAATAATCACCACTCATTACCCACTATCCACTACTCACTACTCACTACTAACTACTCATTGCCCACAAATCACTACTCAATACCCACTACTCGCTACTCGCTACTCCCTACTCCCTACACAATACTGATTACACAGTACTCAGTACTCGCTACTCGCTACCCCCATACTCGCTAATCAATACTCACAACTTACTCACCGCTACTCACTATTCACTACTCATTACTTACTACCCCCTACTCACTAGTCACTACATACTCTCTAGTCACTAGTCACAACTCACTAGTCACTAGTCACTACTCACTACCCACTACTCACCAGTCGCTACTCACTACCCACTATTCGCTACCCACTTTTTGCTACTCACTGCCCACTACTCCCCACTCCCTACTCCCTACTCCCTAATCAGCACTCACTACTCACTACTCACTACTCGCTACTCCCTACTCGTTACCCACTAATCACTACCCAGTACTCACTACTGACTACACTCTACTCACTACTCACTACTCGCTACTCGCTACTCACTACTCACTACCCACTGCCACTACCCACTACTTTCTAGTCACTATTCATCACTACTCACTACCCACTACTCACTACGCACTACGTACTACTCAATACTCACTACTCACTACTCACTATTCACTACTCACTACTCACTACTCGCTACTCACTACTCACTACTCACTACTCACTACTCACTACTCACTCATCACTACGCACTACTCACTAATCACTACGCACTACACACCACCCACAACACACTACTCACGAATCAGTACTCGCCACCCATTACTCACTACCAACTACTCACTACCCAGTACTCATTACTCCCTACTCCATACTCAGTACTCACTACTCGCTACTCGCTACTCACTACTCACAACTCACTACTTGCCACTCGCTACTCACTTATCGGTACACACTAATTAATCACAATTCACTACTGACTACTCCCCACTCCCTACTCCCTACTCCCTACTCGCCACTCACTACCCACTGTTCATACTCACTACTCACTACTACTTACTACCCAATACTCACTACTCACTACGCACTAACTCACTACTCACTACTCACCACTCCCTACTCCCAACTCCGTACTCCCTACACTGGGGAGGGGGGTCCGAACACCCCCCCCCCTTTCCAGCGCCAAGGGGGAGAGAGGGGGGGGGGGGGTTCCGGACCCCCCCCCCCCCCCCCTTCAAGGGAGGGAGGGGAGGGGGGGGATTAAGTCCGGACCCCCCCCTTTTAGTGTATTCAGGGAGATCCACTGGCGCACTTTCGAAATTGTTCCCTGGAGGGCGAAGTCGAAGGAAAAACGTGAGAAGTCGACGGAAAAACGCCAGAGCCGCGAGAGCTTCCGAGGAGCCTCGAAGCCCGAACCGGGAGGGCCCGTCGCGGCGAACGGCGCCGGCGCCGCCCACAGGTCATGGTCGGCGGCGCGCCGAAGGGGAGTGTTTCAGTGAGGTGCTCGAACTTTGCGCCTCGAGCATCGGTGTTCGAGTCTTTCTGGCCCTCGGGGTCTTCTTCTAAGTCACGGCTGGACGCGACTCGAAAAAATGGTGCGTTTGGACCCGGGAGGGGTCCGAAGGCTTCCTTCGGACCGGATCTGGGTTTGGGGGTACGGTGAGGGGGAAGACAGCAGCCTGTCCGTTGCCTCGAGAATCGGTGTTCGAAGCTTTCTGGCCCTCGGGGTCCTCCTCTAAGTCACGGCTGGACGCGACTCGAAAAAGTTGTGCGTTTGGACCCGGGAGGAGTCCGAAGGCTACCTTCGGAACGGATTTGGGGGGTTTAGGGGTACGGCGAGGGGGAAGACAGCAGCCTGTCCGTTGTGCCATCACTGTTTCATATGTTGTGGGAGGGCGGGTGGGAATGGGCATGCCATGCTTGAACGCTCGAGCTGGCTAGCTTGACCCCCCCCATACCCCAACCCCCGATGTCGTCCGGCGCGAGTCTTGGAGGTACCCTCGGAGCTCGCCGGGGCCCTGGGGCCTGTTCCGGCCGTGCCGGGGCGGGGAGGGCGGGGGGCTCGAGGCACGCCACCTTCCAGGGCGCGCGGGGCGCAGGTGGTCTGGGGGAGTTGGTGCTTCCAGACTCCTTGTGCCCTTTCGGGGAGAGGTTTGCCTCTCCCCTTCATACCCCCTCCCTGGTCGTGGACCCCTCCCCAGCGCGGGTCGTTGGAGGGTCCAGAATGGCCCGGGATGGCTCCAAGATGGGACCAAATAGTCCAAGATGGAGTTGGGCTCAATCTTCGCCCCCCGAACCGCCGTCAGCAGCGACAGCGCCTGCTGCCACTGCTCGCCATTCGCGCAAGCGCTGATCCCAGCGCTGCAGCTGATGACGTCGGGCTCCAACATGGCCTCCCACATATCTCTAAGCAGCAGTAGTGCCCGTTGCCATTGCCTGGCCTTCTCGAAAGCGCTGATCCCAGCGCTGTAGCTAATGATGTCGGGCTCAAACTTCACCTCCCTCATCTCGCTCAGCAACGACAAAGCCCGCTGCCACTGCTCGCCCTTCTCGGAAGCACTGATCCCAGCGCTGTAGCTGATGATGCTGGACTCGAATGCCGCCTCCCGCATCTCGCTCAGCAGCGTCAAAGCCAGCTGCCACTGCTCGCCCTTCACACACGCGCTGATCCCAGCGCTATTGCTGATGACGTCGGGCTCCAACATAGCCTCCCATATCTCACTGAGCAGCGACAAAGAACGCTGCCACTGCTCGCCCTTCGCGCAGGCGCCGATCCCAGCGTTGTAGCTGGTGATGCTGGGCTCCAACTTTACCTCCCTCATCTCGCTCAGCAGGGCCAAAGCCTGCTGCCACTGTTCGCCCTTCTCGCACGCACTGATCCCAGCGTTATAGCTGATGATGGTGGGATCCAGCTTCGCTTGCCACATCTCTCTGAGCAGCAACAATGCCCGCTGCCATTGTAGGCCTTTCTCGCACGCGCTGATCCCAGCGTTGAAGCTGAGTAGGGCTGACCCGCGCGGGGGTGGGAGGTTGGAGGGGGCGGTGTGGATGGAGGAGGTGGCCGCTGGAGGGGGTGTCAGTGGAAGCACACCCCATGTAGGCACGACATGGTGTGGACAGAAGCTGTTTCTCACGCCGCGCCCTGTGTTCATCATAGCTTCTGCTGGGCGAGTTGCCTTGATCATTTTATCTGCTATTCGCCGGGGCCGTATGATAATCTCATCTGGTAGTGTGGTGAGAATGGGGCCAATGGGCGCGGGCATGTTCCTGATCGTTCGTCTGGAATTTCGACGGCCCAAGACGCCCGCAAGAGAGCGCCGAGACGGCCCAAGAGGTCTCCAAGACGGGCCAAGAGGCTTCCAATACGGCCAAAGATGGCCCTTCACTCCCTAAGACGGACCCCAGTGCGAGGACACGAATCGACCTTTCGAGCTCACCGCCCCAAGACGTTCCCCAAAGGCCCACAGATGGCTCTCAGAGGGTCCTAGAGGCCACCAAGACGACACTGGAAATTCAAACAGGCTCACAGAGGCCGTACAAGTGCTTCCCTTGGAGGCTCCCGAGAGCTCTCCGAAGGTATCCCAAGAAGCGTTCTTGGGATACTCTCGGAAAAGCTCGATCGATTTGGGGGTTCCATTTGGGGCGTACTCCTTCTCCTACTCCTCCTCTCTTTCTCCTTCTTCTTATTATTCGTATTAGCATGATTCGTATTATTCTTAGTATTAGTACTATCATTCGTCGTAATATGATTATTATTGTTATTATCATTACTCTTAGAATGGGTATTCTTAGGAGTAGCATTGATTATCCTTATCACGACTATGAAACAAATTGTTCTTACTAGTATGAGAATGATTCGTCGTAGTATCTTTCTTATTCGGGGTATGATTGTTCTTGGTATTAGAATTGAAATTCCTCGTCTTCCTCCTCCTCCTCCTCGCCCTCCTGTTCCTCCTCCTCCTCCTCCTCCTCCTCCTCCTCCCTCCTCCTCCTCCTCCTGCTCCTCCCCCCCCCTCCTCCTCCTCCTCCTCCTCCTCATCTCCTCCTCCTCCTCCTCCTCCTCCTCCTCCTCCTCCTCCTCCTCCTCCTTCTCCTCCTCCGCCTCCGCCTCCGCCTCCTCCGCCGCCCACCGCCTCCTCCTCCCCCTCCTCCTCCTCTTCCTCCTCCTCCTCCTCCTCCTCCTCCTCCTCCTCCTCCTCCTCCTCCTCCTCCGCTCCGCCTCCGCCTCCGCCTCCGCCTCCGCCTCCCTCCTACTTTTCCTCCTGCTCTCCTCCTCCTCATGCTCCTCCTCCTCTCCTCCTCCTCCCCTCCTCATCATCATCATCATCATCATCAGCAGCAGCATCATCAGCAGCATCATCATCCGCCTCCGCCTCCGCCTCCTCCGCCTCCTCCTCCTCCTCCACCTCCTCCTCCTCCTCCTCCTCCTCCTCATCCTTCTCCTCCCTCGATTCTTCATCCCGTCGATCTTCGATCGTCAGTCGTCGACGCTCCCCAAGAGGGAGGCATCGCAGGCCTCTTTGGGGCCGTTTGAGGGCCTGTTGTCATCCTCCTGGGAATCTCTCGGGGCCCTCTTGGGCCGTCTTGAGTGCCTCTTGGGCCGCCTTGGGGTGACTTGGGGTCGTCTTGAGCGCCTCTCGGGCCATCTTGGGGCCGTCTTGGGGCCATCTTGCACCGTTGTTGGGCGCTCTTGAGGCTGTCTTGGGTGCATCTTGATCTTGGACCATCTCGGGCGCCTGTGGAGCCGTCCCAGAGGCCATCTCGGGCCGTCTTGGGGCCCTCCTGGGGGCGTCTGGGGGCGTCTTGGGGCGGCTTGGGGCGATCTGGGGGCCTGTACAGCAGTTTGGAGACTGTGCACACGGAAAAAACGAGCATATGAAAATATACGTTTTCCAAATGGAATGGGACGATGCTTGCCTCTTGGGGCTCTCCTGGAAGCCCTCCTGGGCCGTCTCGGGAGCCTCCTGGCCTGCCTGAGAGGCCTCTGGCGGCATCCTGGGGTTCGCTTGGGGTCCTCTTGGGACGTCTGGGCGCCCTCTTGAGCGTCTTGGGGCCGTCTTGGGGCATCCTGGGACCTCCCGGAGCAGTCTCGGAGCGCCCAGGGGACTCGCAGAGCGACTGGGGGATTAGACAGAGGACCTTCTCGCACGCATAAGTCCCTGCATTGTAGAAGAGACTATGATTTGCTGAACATGTGATTCGCAAACCGTAGGCTTAACCTGCAGAACAGGGCGTCGAAGCCAGCTCGTGGAGCTCGTGGAGAGGACGGGGGGAGGACACGAGTGCAGGTGAAGGACCTCGGAGCGAATGAGCGTGCCGCGGCGACTCCGTGGAGGGAATGCGGTGTGAGCTCCTGTCGTGACGAGACGCGCTGTTGCCTTTGACACCGCGTGGAACGCTCGAGCCTGCACGATCGGCAGCTCTGAGTTCGCGAGATCGTTCAGATCGGCCGATTCTTTGGGGACGCCGCGACGCCCGAAATGGGTACGGAAAGAATGAGCACTATGCCCAACAACAAATGTTGTCCCAAACAAACAGCGGCCGCTGTTGGGCAGGCGGCCGTTTGTCTCGAATGGACACAGGCCGCGGCGGCGTGGACAGCGAGTCCTGTTCAAAATGAACAGGAACCGCTGTTGGGCATTGTACCCATTCTCTCCGTGCCCATTTCGTTCGTGCAAGGAGTTCACATCGGCCGATCCCACGATGACCGGGGACCAGAACTCCGGCATGACGTTTTGGCTGGGGCGCAGGCTCCGCACGCGGCCTCCGCAGCACCTCCCCGGCACTCGGGGCCTCCTGGGGGAGCCTGTCTGGCGCCTCCGGGGGCTGCTCTCGGGATTCGTTGGGTCGCTTTGGGCCGCGTTGGGGACCTCTCGGGTCCTCCTGCGAGGCTGCCTGGGGCCTCGGAGGTGCCTCTTACGGCACCTTGGGTGCCTCCGGGGCCGTTCCCCCAGGCTGTCCCCCCGAGCTCCCTCTGGAGGACAGCCAGGGAAGCGAATTTCTTGGAAGCGCCCTGGCTTCCTGGGACGTCCTTGGGCTCTCAAGGGCTCTGTGAGGACTCTCTTGCAGCCGTCTTCGAGGGCACATGGGGCTCTCTGGGGCCGTCTTCGGGCGCTTTTGGGAAATCTTTGGGACTTTTAGGGCCGTCGAGGGCCTCTCTTGGGAGCCTGATGAGCAGTGATTGGGCGATCTAGGAGGCGCTGGGAGCCGTCTGAAGCCGTTCTTGGAGCGCAATGGGGAGAACCTGAGAATCCGCCAAAAACTGCAGGAAATCTACGGTTGCGGCACCGGGGGGCCTCCACCAGGGTCCTCTTCTTGGGCAGTCTTGGAGGCCTGGCCTGTCTTGGGGCCGTCTCTCGGGCCCTTCTGAGGCTCGCTTCGGGCTGCCTGGGACCATCCCGGCGCTCTCTCGAGGTGGAGGTGCGAGGGGAGGGGAGGGGAGGGGAGAAGAGGGCGCTCCTCCTCCTCCTCCCCTCCGCTCCCTCGCTCGCTCGCTCCTCCTCCTCCTCCTCCTCCTCCTCCTCCGCCTCCCTCTTCCTCCTCCTCCTCCTCCTCCTCCTCCTCCTCCTCTCCTGCTCCTCCTCCTCCTCCTCCTCCTCCTCCTCCTCCTCCTCCTCCTCCTCCTCCTCCTCCTCCTCCTTCCTCCTCCTCCTCCTCCTCCTCCTCCTCCTCCTCCTCCTCCTCCTCCTCCTCCTCCTCCCTGCCTCTGAACCGTCGCTGGAGGTCTTGGAGCCCCCGAGGCGACCGCCAAAGGCCGTCCTGGACCGCCCGGGGAGCGCCGGGGCGCCCGGGAAGCGCCCCGGGAGCGCCAGGAGCCGATACCGTCCTAGTCTTGACCATAAGCCATGCCGACTCGAGATTGGAGGTCGTTATTGATACGACTCCTTCAGCACCTCATGAGAAATCACAATCTTCGGGGTCCGGGAGGAGTGTGGTCGCAAGCCTGGAACTTCAAGGAATTGACGGAAGGGCACCACCAGGCCCGTGGCAGAACGTGCTGGAGGCCGTGCTGGGGGACTCTTTGTGGCCGTGCTGAGAGAAGTCGCGCGGCCCTCTCGGGGCCGTCCTGGACCGTCTCGGGGCTCTCGGCGGGCTGATGAACCGTCGTGGCGCTCTCCGTAGAACGCGTCGGGCCGTCCAGGGGCTCTGCGAGGCAGTCGTCGGCATTTTGGGGGGCCTCAAGGGTCGTCCAGGAGCTCTCTGGGGCAGCCCAAGACGGTCCAGAAGGCCTGAAGACCGACCGACACGGCCGAGGAGGCGCCGAAGACGACAGTCCAAGAGTTATGTCGTTCCTATCCTACTTGAAGACCACATCCCAGAAATAATTTCGAGCACCCAGAAAAGTGTCATAAGAGTGTCGAAACAGTGTCGAAACAGTGTCGGGCGAGTGTCTTTCAGGGCCCGACGTGTGACAACCCTTGAGCTTCGGCAATTCTGGACGGGCTCGTAATTCTTTCTGGTGATCAAGGCCAAAGTAGGTTGGAACATCGTAACCCAAGAGGCCCCGAGGAGGGCCCACAGGTGAGCGTTGTCTGATTCGACGTTCCGACATCGGGCGGGAGGGGAGAGAAGGAGCGGGGTCTGGCTCGGGACCTCTGCTTAGCGCGACTGCTTGCAACAATTTGTCCTATGGGAGGGACTTCACCTGCTCGAAACAGGCGCCAAAAACAGCCAAGATCTACTCCATGGGGGGGGAGGGGAGGCGACAGGTTGTTTCTGTGTCCAACTGGGGGTTTCTGTGTCCCCGTTGGGTGTTTCTGTGTCCCGCGCCGCCCGGGGGTCCCCAGGATGAGTGTTTCTATGTCCGCTATGATGCCGTTCTAATGCGTTTCGTATTGTGCGACGATACCCATCATCTCGTGGAAATCAAACCGTTGTCCAATAGGGGAAACTTTTGCGTCCAGGATTTTGTGGACGCGGGACACTTTGGAGTTTCTGTGTCCGCCACCTTGTGCTCTTGTGGCATCGTGTGTATGTCATGCTTGTGGCACTACTACTACTACTACTACTACTACTACTACTACTACTACTACTACTACTACTACTACTACTACTACTACTACTACTACTACTACTACTACTACTACTACTACTACTACTACTACTACTACTACTACTACTACTACTACTACTACTACTACTACTACGACGACGACGACGACGACGACGACGACGACGACGACGACGACGACGACGACGACGACGACTACTACTACTACTACTACTACTACTACTACTACTACTACTACTACTACTACTACTACACTACTACTACTACTACTACTACTACTACTACTACTACTACTACTACTACTACTACTACTACTACTACTACTACTACTACTACTACTACTACTACTACTACTACTACTACTACTACTACTACTACTACTACTACTACTACTACTACTACTACTACTACTACTACTACTACTGAAGTCCAAGAGGCTCTCTCGGGAAGTCCAAGAGGCTCTCTCGGGAAGTCCAAGAGGCGCGCTCGGGAAGTCCAAGAGGCGCGCTCGGGAAGTCCAAGAGGAGCGCTCGGGAAGTCCAAGAGGCGCGCTGGGACACAGAAGCTCCCAACCCAGACCCACTCCAAGACACACATACACTGGGACACAGAAACACCCTATCTGGACACAGAAACACTCATCGAGGACACCGAAACCCCCATCTGGACACAGAAACACCTTTTGCCGGGAGGGGAGGGGGGGTGCGAGGGCCCGCGCGGATCGGTGAAACAACGAAAAAGAAAACGATCACCATGAGGACAGAAACGGGGTCCTCCCGGAGCCCGAGAGGCTCCACCAGGGCCGTCCTGGAGCTGCCTCGCGTCGAGAGGTTTGAGAAGCAACGAGTACAAACGCCCTTCTCGTAGCGGGTGTGTTGTACAGTGGAGGCCAGTCCACAAGAAACCTTCCACAACAAAAAAAACTGTGACCCCAGGACGTCCATCGATGTTTGGTGTGGGGGCATTACGCTTTCCATAGCAAAACCATCGAACGTCAAAAAACCCAAGGCATCCTGGAGGCAAGAAGCGAGTTTCTTGACATGGGTTTCCACTGTAACGCCCCGTGGTCTGCTGGACGGCGGGACAGCCCCTGCAAGGCCTCTTGGCGCGCTCGGGGACCCCTCGGGGGCCTCTTGGAACCGCTCGGGGCCTCATAGGGGGCCCCGTCGGGCCGCCTCATTCTGGAGCCAACTCTGGCCCTCTCGGACCCTGTCGAAGGCCGTCTCGGGTCGTTGGGGGACGCCTTGGGCTATCCCGATCCCATCGTGTTCAAGGACCACATCCCAGAAAGAAATTCGAGCACCCAGAAAAGTGACAGTCCTTCCTTGGTGCCCGAAACTCTGTCTTGCGATCAAGGCTACAGTAGGTTGGAACATCCTAAGTCTCAGGGGTAATCCTGAGGCGCCCCAGGCCCGCCCAGGGCCCGCAGAGTGGCGCCGAAGCCGCTCAGGGCAGCCCCAGGGGGGGCGAGAACACACAATTTGCCCAGAGACCCTTTCCGCACGCACGCGTCCCAGAATTGAAGGGACGATGACGTCGGACTCCAACTTTTCCCCCCGCATATCACTGAGCAGCGATAGTGCCCGCTGCCACTGCTCGCCCTTCTCGCACGCGCTGATCCCGGCGTTGTAGCTGACTAGGGTGTACCCGTGGACTACGTCCACTTGCGAAGTGATGAGGCGCTGCCGTTAGGCGATCACGATGGATGGCGTCAGGTTCGCCTTCCACATGTCGCCGAGCACCTTGAGCGCCGCCTGATTGGGGAGCATGGGAGATGAGGAGGCTCGATCGGGCCATGTGCAAAACGCATTGGGAACGGAGGCGCGATGGAGCAGCCGGGGGAGAAGAACATCTTCCCATCCACCTCATTATCCTTCTGTTGCTCCTGTTCCTCCTCCTCCTCCGTTTCCGTCTCCTCCTCCTCCTCCTCTTCCTCCTCCTCCTCCTCCTCCTCCTCCTCCTCCTCCTCCTCCTCCTCCTCCTCCTCCTCCCCCTCCTCCTCCTGACTCCCTCATCCTTCTCAGTGCCCTCCTGATCATCCTCGTCCCTCTCATCCTGTCCCTCATCTTCCTCTTCTTTTTCCTCTCCTTCGGGTTCTCCCGCCTGTCCCTCTGCAGCGCTGTAACGCAGCGCGACAACACCCTTCGGCAAGGCGTCAAAAAAATGCGATTGCGTCGAAGGCGTCGGCAGGGCCCAGTCTCGCGGGGTTTTCCTTGGGCCTCTCTCGGGGCTCTCTTCGAAGTTCTTGAGATCTTCTTGGGTTCCTTTGGGAAGCTCCTCGCGGCTTCAAGGCCGTCTCGATAAAGGCCTGGAGGGCGCCAGGACGGAACCCCAAAAAGCTTCGTGGTGTTCGTTTTGAGGGGCGCTCACAACGAACAGAGCGCGGCCTCTCGCGGGGTCTTCCTAGGCCTCTCTCGGGGCTCTCTTCGAAATTCCTGAGATCTTTTTTGGTTCCTTTCGGGGGCTCCTCGCGGTTTCAAGGCCGTCTCGGGAGGGGCCTCGAGGGCGCCAGGACGGAACAAAACAAAGCTACCAGGTGTTCGTTTTGAGGGGCGCTCAAAACGAAGAATGCCCAGCCCGTGGTGGGGCCTTCCCAGGCCTCTCCCGGGCTCCCTTCGAAGCGTCTGAGATATTCTTGGGCTCCTTTGGGAAGCCCCCCCCGGCTTCAAGGCCGTCTTGGTAGGGGCCTCGAGGGCGCCAGGACGGAACCAAAATGAGCTTCGAGGTGTTCGTTTTGAGGAGCGCTCAAAACGAACAGTGCGTGGCCTCTCGCGGGGTCTTCCTAGGCCTCTCTCGGAGCTCTCTTCGAAGTTCCTGAGATCTTCTTGGGCCCCTCTGGGTGGCTCCTCGCGGCTTCAAGGCCCTCTTGGTAGGGGCCTCCGGGGCGCCAGGACGGAACCAAGAAGAGCTTCATGGTGTTCGTTTTGAGGGGCGCTCAAAACGAACAGAGCGCGGCCTTTCGCGGGGCCCCTCTTACGCCTCTGGGGGGCGCTCTCTTCGAGGCTCATGAGATTGTTTGGGGCTCCTTTGGGAAGCTCCTCGCGGCAAAGCCGTCTCGGTAGGGGCCGCGAGGGCGCCAGGACGGAACCAAAATGAGCTTCGAGGTGTTCGTTTTGAGGGGCGCTCAAAGAACAGTGCCCAGCCCCTGGTGGGGTTTTCCCAGGCCTCTCTCGGGCTCTCTTCGAAGCGTCTGAGATCTTCTTCGGCTCGTTTGGGGGGGTCGTCGCGGCTCCAAGGCCCTCTTGGCAGGGGCCTCGAGGGCGCCAGAACGGAACCAAAATGAGCTTCGAGGTGTTCGTTTTGAGGGGCGCTCAAAACGAACAGTGCCCAGCCCCTGGTGGAGCCTTCCCTGGCCTCTCTCGGGCTCTCTTCGAAGCGTCTGCGATCTTCTTGGGCTCCTGTGGGAAGGTCCTCGCGGCTTCAAGGCCGTCTCGGTAGGGCCTCGAGGGCGCCAGGACGGAACGTCCCGTTGGCCTGTCTTGGGCGCCTCTGGGGCCGTCCTGGGGCCGCCTTGGACCGTCTTGGGGCTCTCTTGTACCGTCTGGGGGTCCTCTGGGGGGCCTCGTGGACCGTCTTGAAGCGGTCTTGGATGCCTCCGGGGGGGTGTCGGAGCGTCGGGAAGCCGAAAAAGCGAGGAAGCAAAAAAACCTGTGGAAAAAACAATGAAAAACAACAATTTTGGCCTCTCGGGGCTCTCTTGGGAGGCCTCTTGGGAGGCCTGTCGGGTCGTCTTGGGGAGCTCTCAGGCCGTTTGGGGACCTCTTTTGGGCTCCTGGGGGCCTCTTGGGCCTCTCTGGGCTCGTTTATCGCGCCCATTGGGCTGTCTTGGGGCCCCCGAGGGCCTTCTTGGGCGGTCCTCGGGCCGTCTTGGAGCCATCTTGGGCCGCTCTTCGGGCCATCTTGGGGTCCCGTTGGCCTGTCTTGGGCGCCTCTGGGGCCGTCCTGGGGCCGCCTTGGACCGTCTTGGACCGTCTTGGAGCGGTCTTGGATACCTCTGGGAGGGGTTCGGAGCGTCGGGAAGCCGAAAAAGCGAGGAAGCAAAAAACCTTGGAAAAACACATGAAAATCAAAATTTGTTGGCCTCTCGGGGCTCTCTTGGGAGGCCTCTTGGGAGGCCTGTTGGGCCGTCTTGGGGGGCTCGTGGGCCGTCTTGGGCCAATCTCGGGCGTCTTGGCCGGATCATTGCGCGTCTCGGGGCCCTCTTGGGCCGCCTTCGGGGCATCTTGAGCGGGTCGGAGCCGTCGTGGAGCGGCTCGGAGCCGTCTTTGGCAAAAAACCTTGGAAAAAAACAATGTAAATCAACGTTTTTGGCCTCTCGGGGCTCTCTTGGGAGGCCTCTTGGGAGGCCTGTTGGGCCGTCTTGGGGGGCTCGTGGGCCGTCTTGGGCCAATCTCGGGCGTCTTGGCCGGATCATTGCGCGTCTCGGGGCCCTCTTGGGCCGCCTTCGGGGCATCTTGAGCGGGTCGGAGCCGTCTTGGAGCGGCTCGGAGCCGTCTTTGGGCCGTCGGGGCGGCCTCCGGAGCGTCTCGGAGCCGTTTCCCGGCATTTGGCGATTTTTCCTTCCGGCACGCGGTTCCTCCGGCCATATCCATATAGTATAGATGACAAGGGCTGACCCGTGGCCTACTCGCAACGAAATCTAAACAAACTGGCATGAGGTTGTGGACATGTTGCCGAAAGGCTGAAATTATGAGGCGAGACTCGACCCTCGCAACTCGCGCAGGCTACTGCATGCTGCTACTTGCTACGTGCTGATGTTAAGTCTTACAGATACAGCGTGTTGTTACTGCTCGTGGCTCCAAGGTGATGGTGATGGCCAAATCTGCCTGGTTCGTGCTGCTGCCCGCTGCCCGCTGCTGATTGCCGTTGCCGTGTGCTGCCGCTGCTGCTACCTGCTTCGTGCAGCGTGCTGCTGTCGTTCGCTGCTGCTGCTGCTTGATGCTGCAGGGTTCTATTTCTCGTTACTCCAGATGTCGTAATAAAAGGGAGGGGGTCTGGACCCTCCAAGACAAGCCATTTCAGACCTCCCCCGTGGGAGAACCCTCCAAAACATCGTCCCCAGACCCCCCAGGCCCTCCAAGATAGGCTGGAAGAGACCCCCCCCGAAATGAGACCCCCCTCCCTTTATTACGAAATCTGGAGTATTCAGACCGCAGCGGCTCCAACGAAGGGAGGAACAAAGAAGCGCGTGGGTGCCGCATTTTCGCGAAAGCCTCTTGGAGGCGGTTTTGGGGGTGCCTTGGGGCCTCTCGGGGGCCTCTCGGCGGTCTCTTGGAGCCTGATTTGGACCTCTTTCTTGGGGGCCTCCTGTGGCTTGTGGGTGGCAGCTTGGGGGCCTGCTGGTGATATTTGAAACATCTTGGGCCGTCTTGGAGCGTCGGAAGCCCGAAAAGGCGAAAACGCCAAAAACCTTCAAAAACCCGTGAGAAATTCATGATGTGGGCATCTCGGCGCACTCGTGGGGGGGGCCTCTTGGGGCCCTCTTGGGCCGTCTTGGGGCCCTGCTATGCCATCGGAAAGCCATATTGGCAGCCGTCTGGGACCGTCTGCAGGCGCTTCGGGTCATCTTGGACCGTCGTGGGGCCCCCTTTTGGTCGTCGCGACGCGCCCTGGGAGCTCCCAGGTCCCAGGGCGCCCTGGGGGGCCTCGGAATGCCAAGTGACGCCAGAGACTTCCCGTGAGCCCGTGGAAAGTGCACTGCCGACAGGGCGAAGCTCGCTCCTGTTGGCCGGTAGGCGACACGAGGGAAAAACGTGGTTCTGAGCTGCTACGGGAAGGACCAGGAGCCGCTGGAAGAAGGGAGGGGAGGCTGGAGCGCGGACTTGCCGTCGCTCGGAAGTCCATGTCCCGTGCACTTGTCGGCTTCGTGCGTGTTTTTTCTGCTCGATGGTCCAGGATGGCCCTCGATGGTTCTCGCCGAGAACAGATGCACACGTCCGAGCGATGCCAAGTGGAGGGGGCGCCCGAGGGCCGTGAGAATGCGTATGATGCTCGTGTGGGTGGCCCGGGTTGGCCGCAGGTCCCCCCCCGCCCCCACCCCTGACCGGCGAAGTGGAGGGCCCAATGGGCGGAGCCGGGAGAAGAGAGGAGGAGGAGGAGGAGGAGGAGGAGGAGGAGGAGGAGGAGGAGGAGGAGGAGGAGAGGAGGAGGAGGGGGAGGAGGAGGAGGAGGAGGAGGAGGAGGAGGAGGAGGAGGAGGAGGAGGAGGAGGAGGAGGAGGAGATGAGGAGGAGGAGGAGGAGGGGTCAGGCAAGAGGGGGCGCGAAGTGTCTGCAGGTCCCCCACGTCGCCCCTAGCAGGCAGAGCGGGGGGACCCAGAGTGGCGGGAGCAGCCGAGAGAAGAGCCAGGAGGGCGCAGAAACAGGCAGGGGCTCCGGCGGTGCAGGTGCCCCCAGCGGGAAGAGGAGGAAGGTGAGGCGGAGGAACGAGGAGGAAGGGGAGCACGGGGAGGAGGACGGACGGGAAAGGGGGGAGGAGCGGGGAGGTCCCAGAAGCCTTGAAGGGTGCCTGCGCCGCTCGTGCTGGGAGGGGTGGGGGGGGGGGGGGGGGGGGGGGGGCGAAGCGAAGGGGGCCGCGGGTCTCCCCCCGTCGCCCCGCATCGGCCTCTGCTCGACAGAGGGCTCTCGTGGGGGTCGACGTGGGCCCCCCTTTGGGGGCCATCCCGACGTCCGCTGCGGCCTCCGAGGGGCAGCCTGCCGGCGGGGCTGGAGGAGGAGGAGGAGGAGGAGGAGGAGGAGGAGGAGGAGGAGGAGGAGGAGGAGGAGGGAGCCTGGCGGAGCGGCCTGGGGCTGCCTTGGGGCCGCCTCGGAGGCGAGCCAGGGGCATGTCGGGAATGACATTGCCCTTTAGAACCATCTCGGCATCTCGTTGGGTCCCCTGGCGCCCTCTCGGAAACCCCTGGAGGGCACGCATCTGGACATGATGCTTCTTCGAACGTGGAGATGTCCAACCGTATTTGAAACAACTGCAAAAAAACACTGCATGTGGTCTTCACCTCATTGGCCCCCTTTGCCCCTCCACGCACGATCTGCGGGTTTCCTGGAGCCACCCTGTGCCCCTTCGGGAACCTCGGGGGGCGTTCGTCTGGGGAGTTCTGGGGGCCCCCTGGGACGGGCCAGGCCAGCCAGCGGCTGATGGAGTGGCGCCCAGGCCAAGTGACGGCCGCCGGAGCGGGTTCTGGAGCGAGCCTGGGGCTGGGAGCTACCGCAACCGGTTCCCATTTCTGGGACGCGTTCCGACTGGAATAATAGGACGGATGTTCTTGACTCATGACAAATATTCCCTGAGCGTTGTTAACATGTTCAAGTCGGCATGTTGGCTTGTCATGTGTTGTTCTGGTCTCGACCACAAAAACCGAAGGCGCGGGGGGGGGGGGGGAAATAATTAGCCTGGCGAAGGACCCAACCATATGCAGTTGTGAATACCGCAATTGTAAATATCTTCTTCGGTGGCGCTCCCTCTGGGGCCACGAAACGCTGTACTGGGTGGGCGAAACGCAGGGAGCAAGGGCTGTGCTGGGTGGTGGCGGACGCATGCGGGCGGTGCCACTGGGACCTTCGGTGGGGCCCCCATATGGGGCCACGAAACGCTGCACTGGGTGGGCGAAACGCAGGGAGCAAGGGCTGTGCTGGGTGGTGGCGGACGCATGCGGGCGGTTCCACTGGGACCGGTGGAACCCCCGAATGGGACCACGAAACGCTGTACTCGGTGGGCGAAACGCAGGGAGAAAGGGCTGTGTTGGGTGGTGGCAGACGCATGCGGGCGGTGCCACTGGGACCTTCGGTGGAGCTCCCCATGGGGCCACGAAACGCTGTAATGGGTGGGCGAAACGCAGGGAGCAAGGGCTGTGCTGGGTGGTGGCGGACGCATGCGGGCGGTGCCACTGGGACCCTCGGAGGAGCTCCCTATGGGGGCACGAAACGCTGTACTCGGTGGGTGAAACGCAGGGAGCAAGGGCTGTGCTGGGTGGTGGCGGACGCATGCGGCTCGCCTCCTTGTTTGCCCGTCAGCTGGCTGTCGCTTCCTCCAGCTTGCTGATGCTTGGGGCTGACTGTTGCAGTCTTCTGTGTACTTGGTGCTCGTCCTCGCAACTACGGAGTGGTGTTCGCCGCTGCGTACTGCTGCTTGATGCGGCTTGGCGCTGCTGCGTGCTCCTGCCGAACTGTCTTGGCTGATGCTGCGTGCCTGCTACTGCGTGCCTGCTACTGCATGCTGCTGCTTGCTGCGCTGTTGCGTGCTTGTGGTAATGCGCTCCGCTGCTTCCAGGTGCTGTTTGCGGAGGGTGCTGCTGATTGCCGCTTCTGTTCGCTGCGTGCTGCTGCAGGGTGCTGCTTACTGCTGCACGCTGTTGCTTGCTATTATTATGTGCTGCCGCTGCGTCTTCTTCAGTCGCGCTGTTACTCTCAGGGCTGAACCTAAACGGTATTCGTTTTCGTGGTGTTTTCGTTTTCCCTCGACTTTGTCTCGAATCCGCCTTACGAAACAGGCCCACGAAATCACCAAAAACACCGTTTAGGCCCAGCCCTGGTTACTCTTCCTTGCTGTTGCTGTTTGGTGCTGCACGGTGTTGGTTCTCCCTACTTCTGCTTGCTGGCGCAGCCTGCTGCTCGTGCGAGGATCGAAGAACGACGAGCAACGAGCGACTAATCAGGATCGAGGAGAAAGGCAGGAGGAGCGAGAAGCGCAAAGCAAGAAGCGAGGGGCGAGGAGCTAGAAGGAAGCAGGGGCGGCCGAAGAGAGAGGATGGAGAACGGAGGTAGAGCCGAGGAGGGGGGAAAGAGGTGCGAGAAGCAAAGCTTGAAGAGCGAGGAGCAAGGAGAGAGGAGCGAGGAGGAGTGAGAAGAGAGGAGCAAGGATCGAGGAGCGATGAGCGAGGGGGCAAGGGAAAAAGTGCACGCATCTCCCAGTGGCCTCGACGCGTGCGTGGCCGGACACCTGGTTCACTCCCGGATCACTCATGGGGCCTCGTCGGGCATTCTTGCGGCCGTTTCGGGGTCGCGTGACAGGCCGATTTGGGTGCAGGGCCCTCCCCTCCCCAACCTCCTGGGGCCATCTGGGCGTCCGCAGCGGCTGTTCGGGCATTGCTTTGATGGAATCCGGGGGCGGTCGGGGCGTGCCTTGGCGCCACTTTACTTTGGGGGCGGTTGGGCCGTCAGCGGTTCGAGGCCATTTCGGAGGCCGGCGGGGCTCCTGCCGCATCCTGGGAGGCCTTTTCTGGGCCCTCTTGGAAACCTCTGGGGTTTATTGTTGAGGCCGTCTTAAAACAGAGAGCAGAAACTGCCGGGAGGATACGCAAGCAAACTGGCACTGACAGACTCCACATCTTGGGGCCCTGCGCGGGATCCTCTTGGAGCCTCTTGGAGCCACCTTGGCGCCACCTCGGGGCTGTCTGGGCCATCGTGGGAGCTGCTGGTGGGCCTCGTCCGAAGGCCGTCGGGACTCGCAGGAGAGACCCCGTCGGAGGATTCGGGAGCTCCCGCGAGGGCCCATAAGAGCCTCCCTGTCCTGGGGCAGATGCTCGACGTCATCCGCATGACAGCCCAACCAAGACGATGTATCTTCTCCGTCTTCTCCAAACTCAGTGGGTCTCTGACGGCTAGGGCGAAGAGAACTATGCACATTCACCGATCCTGATAAGGCCCATCCTTGGCCCAGGATCGGTGCATATGCTTTCCTGGCCACTGTAGGAGGGCGTATGCACCGATCCTGGGCTCAGGATGGGCCTGGCCAGAATCGGTGTATGTGCATAGCTCTCTTTCCTGT